AATACAATATTAAATTAAAGGAAATTATTTATATTATTTAATAGGATTTATTAGATAAAAATATGAACATATCTTCTTTAGGATAATTCTAGGTCATAGAGTAATAAACGAAGGATGAATTTCAGCAGAATATCAAAAGATTTAATACCTCATCTCGTACGCTGAAAAATTTATGAAAATCATGAGCAAATTTTTCATTTACATTTTAACTCAGAGGATACCAATATATGAAAACACACATCAAGATTTGAATTTCTTTATGCGCATCCGAAATTAAACCTTTAGCTCATTTAAATACTCTATAGAAAAGGTAGTCTATATCGATTTGCTATACAGAAAATAATTAAATATCGCCTAAAAAATAGTTATATGATGTAAAAACAAAATTCCATGTCTAATTTTTAACTTTTGCTTTTCTAGAAAATGGTGAAAAACAAAATTGAAAAAAATGTTTCCGATCGACGCCGGATACTTCTCAGTGTTGTTCATTCATGAAAATTTCCATCTCGAAGAAATTATAATTTCATCTAACACACACTTCTTTCTAAAAAAAAAGAAGAAAGAACAGAGTTTTCCACTCCATACATACTCCTGAAGAATACGTAAATTTTGAAAATTTTTTTTTTCCTGTAATGAAATTATGTTCTTCCAGATCAATGGAGCCTTGAGCACGGCTCACAACTATATGATAGAAGTCCATTATTTAATTTAGTGTTATAAGATTATTTCATCAAATATTCCGTCAGAAGAGTGTCTCATATAGTACAAAATTACAATTAATTATTAGCTTACATTATATGTTCGTGATCCGTGTGACTAACTCTACCGATCTGAAAGATTATTATTATATTACAGGAAACAAGTTTCTTTTTTTCAAAATTTCCGTATGTCCTTCAGAGGTGTGAGTGGAGTGGAAAACTTTTTTTCTTTTTTGAAAGAACTGCATATGCGAGATGAAGTGCTAATTTCTTCGAGATGAAAACTTTCATGAGATGAAAGACACTAAGAAGTATCCGAGATCGTTTTCCTTGAGGCTGTTCACCTAGTTATTATTTAAGATTTGTCCAATATATGTAAATAGATCAATTATTATGTTTTTTTCCCTACTAACGATAATAGATTGTTCGTTGGGTTTTTTTCCTATCTTCTTGTACGTATATATGTATATCTAATGCGTATATCGATTTGTCCTTTTCTGTCATATATGCTGATGAGTTTTTCTAGGATTGTTATCATAATCAGATCAACCAACCCTATTATAAGATCTTGTATGATTCTTACAAGATCATATAGAAACTTATTCTATGAGTTTATGTGTCAATTTTAATGCAATTATTTCTGATAAAATTTTACTATGTACAATCTTAATGTTAGGTCTTTTACAATTCATATATAATTTTTCAGAGTTTTTCACAACATTACATAACTGATTTTCTTCTATTTTTGGCTTGTGTCATCGTGTTTTCTTAAGAACGTCTTTTATCTTCAGACGTGTATGTGTATATTTATTTATAGAAATTACAAAAACTCAATGAAAACAAAAATATATGTTTAAAGGACATTTTAAAAAAAAGATTCATTTTTATTGAGTTTGATCATTAAAATAATCTAAAACAAACAATTTAAATAAAAGAAAATCTATTTCTATTTAATCAATCATCTGTAGAGTAATTTTTTAGTACATCGCCACCACTACATAGAAAATGTATTTTCAATTGCAAAAAAAAGGTAGCTTCTAAATTAGAACATATCTAATCACTTAAATATTTATTTAAATATACAAAACTATCGTTATATAAAAATTATTTGTATAAGTGAGATCTAATATTATCATTCTTATAAAATTCTAACCATCAGACTTTCCAAGAACTTTATAGTTGAGAATCATATAGCATTCACAGTAGAATTTTATAGGAAGATATTTTTACCCATTTCTTAAAGTTTTTTCACTTGACTATTTATATATACACATACATTTCCTTGTCTGAAAGTTATTAGGCTTTATTGTTCTTCTTCGACTTCTACAAAGTTAGTGTTATGGGAATACAACCGAACTCACATCTCTTCAATTTCGTTTATTGATTACATCGATAATTTCTACAGTCCACTATTTATGATTACATTCACGTCAATGACACATACTAAAGTAAAATATGACATATGTACCGTACTTTGTGACATCATATGCGACATATTCTGTCCAGCGACGATGTGACACGTGTTTAAAACGTGGTTCGCACCAGTCTTCAGTTGATTTGTCATTTTTTCTGTATAGACAAATAATGAATATTTTTTCAGTTTAATTCGAATTAGTGATATCTATTCTTAAAGCTCAAATGATTAGATATTAATATCTAACTGTTTCGAGTTCGTTTGATTTCGATAAGTTCAACTGAGTTGGTTATATCTAAGTGTATGAATAGTTATAACAGACAGATCAAGACACATTTTTATTTTACTATGCACACTTCAACCATTACCTATATGTTTGATCCTTATATTACGACTTCACAATCATATCATGATTGCATCAGCTTCTACTTCAAAGCAAATCGTATCAAACCTAGATAATGATAAGAAAGTCGTTTTTTTTTTTGTCAGTTGGTGATGTAACGTACAATTTTTTTGAATCATTTGTTTCATTACAATCGTTGACTAGTGATAAAACAAAAAAAAAAAACATTATGACATCCACATATGGTTTTTATTTCTGCTATTACAAACTAGGACAAACATCCAAAAAATTTTGTAAATTATTGAAGTATAATCGTCGTAGAAAATGTTTTTTTTTTCCATAGTAAGATTAACTTTTCTATAGAGTATCGAAATGACCTAAGAATTTGATTTTGAATGATATTCATTTGAATGTGCATTAAAAAAAGAAATTTTAATGAATGCTTCGTAGACTGGAGTCGTTGTCGATATTCGCATGAAGATTTTCTTAAAAATTGAACTAAATAACCCTTGATTTCGTCTCAGGCACCGTTTAGCCTTTAATCGAAGGACGTTAAATTTTTCATTCGTAAATAAGTAAAAAAAAAAACTAATGTATTAACTTTCTTTTCAACAAATAGTGACTCTCGACATATGTGAAGAGTACACGAAAAAGAAATATTTCAGACATTATTCTTTTGTATTTTATCTTCTACACTGAGAATGACGTATTTACTATATATACTCGCACTTATGAAGCACTTTTTTTTTTTTGTCTAAATGTCGTAAAATGCATTTTGAAACAAAAATAAATGACCAGATAAACACAACGAAAAAAAGATTAAATTATAAATATAAAATTTCCAAGGTTATTTATTTTCTTTTTATTATTATATTCATAGAATCTTTTATCAGTCTTTCTTTGTCTTTTTTTTTTCTTCTTCTTAGCGAACTATCTTTTTTTTTTTCATGTTTTATGTCTCTTCGTTTGCATCTTAACAAAATAATTCTTTATTTTCAAAATTGTTTTTTTTTTGTTTTCGTTGTTTCAATTATCTTAATTTTGGTTTTTTATTGATTGTTTATCGATAATCAATAAAAAAATACTTTTATTTCATATTGCTTCTCGAAAATTCTATAGTAAACTAACTCAACAAGCTGTCTATTTTCTTTTCTTTCTCTTTTGCTTTGAAATGCTAACGTCATTGCAAATAAGAACAAATAGTGAGTGGAAAAACTACTTCCATTCTTTCTCTATGTTTTTGCCCATGTATTGCTAATAAATCGCCCCCGTTGTTTCCCGATGAGACAAGGCTATAGCTTGTCTTTTTCTGCTTTTTTTTCATTTCTTTCATCATATTCCAATGATACGTACTCGACAGGCAGCTGTCGCGTGTGGTTTTTTAGGAGTAAAAGGAAAAAAAAAGAGAGAAGGGGCAGAACATGCACTGTCGGCGTGGTATTGTTACTTGATTTGCCTATCGACGCAAGCAGTAGAAGCAGCAAATAATAACAACGATATTGCTGTTTCTTTTTTTTATCTGCATCGTTTTCTTTTTTTTACTATTAAGTGAGTTGAGTGATTTCGAACTTTTTTTTTTTCATTTCTGTCTTTTCTTTTTTCGGTAGACGAAAGAGCAAAGGTAGTAAATAGTGGCGTGGATGTCGATGATGCTTTCATCTTCAAGTAAATGAAATGTAGCTCACATAAAATATAAAGAAAAGAAAGACATGCCAAGACACTACTCAAAAATGAAACAAAAATGCACACATTGTTATAGACTGTAGCAGTAAGTTTTCGATTGACTAAATAATGTACATATATATATATATATATATATATATAAATATATTCATATACTAGTAAATTGCCAATGAGTAAATATAAATGTATTCATGACACATCTATAGACTATGATTCGTTTTTCTTTTTCTTCTTATCCTTTTTCTTACTTTCTTTTTTACTTTGCTTTGTGAATAATAATTCATACGTATCTTATGAGAACAAGGTCTTACATCATTGTGCATAGTTGGCAATGAAATTATCAAATAAAAATGATGGATGATTAGTTGTAAGCGAAATAAGAATACGTAGTAAATGAAGACATGCGCCATATTCATTCTGTCGATAACATATATATGAGAGAGTATTTGATGAAGATATAACTATTGTGATATAAATCGAATAAATAGAGGTCAATGTCCCCTGATCATTTTCTTTTCTACTTCCTTCTTTATATTAACAGTTGACACCGACATCAATCGACATGTACTTTAATAAATAGTTAAAAAAGGAAACAAAAAAAAAGAAAATTTTTGTCTTGCTCATTGACAATCAGATGTAAGCATTAATTTTCTTTTCTATTCGTTTGATTCAAAAGCAAACAACAAATATGTTAAGAAGATGTTTAATTATAATGAAAAAAGAGCGACGACAAAACGAGGAATAATGTCATTAATACATATATCTCTTCTTATGTGGCTGATGAATGACATATATTTCTTCTAGATATACATATATATTTTTTTTCTTGCTTCTGTTTGTTTCCATCTTGATCACGAGTAGTATGTTGACTGAAAATAATTTTCATCATCATAACGGTGGCTCTGTAGTTTCTCAACATCGTATACATTATGCACCTTATCAACATCCATCATATTCAGGAAAATCAACGCAACAACAAAATGACGTACAAATACCAAAAATTGATTTACATCAAGCTGTACGAACAAATGATGTTTCAAGTATAATACGTATACATAGTCGTCTTCGACAACAACCAACTGTAGCTGATACGTGTTTACTTGATTCAAATGGACATACACCACTTTATACAGCTATTGCTAATGGACGACTTGCTATGGTTGATTTACTTCTTCATCTCGGTCATAATCCTGTAGGTTTATTTTATTAGATTCTTTTTTTACTAAATATATTTTATTTAGTATTGCATATCAGTAGCCCGTGAATCAGCATTAAATGTTGCTATAGGTTATGGTCGTTTGGATATAATTGATTATCTATTATCACGTGGTTTTCCTGTTGATTATGCTGGATTTGAAAATAAGACACCATTAGAACGAGCTATTGAATGTAATCAAGGTTTGGTTGTCGTTACTTTACTTAAACATGGTGTCGATTGGCGTCATTATGATGAACAACGTAAAACAGGTGATACGTCACTTATTGAATGGGCACTTGCACATGAACATCCACAAGTCTTAGGTGTACTTATTGATCTTTATGGTGATGATGAATCTGTATTCAATCAAATTGGCATGTTGTAAAAAGAAAAACATAAATTATTTATGTATATAAATATATAAATATGTATATATCAATCAAACCATGTTCAGGTACCTAAATAATTTTAATTGTGTGTTTTGTATATAGACAAAGACAGCTCATTAGCCCCGGTTTTGTCTCATTAGATCATATATATGTATATGTATTTCATTGCTTTACAATCAACATTGATCGTTGTTTGTTTCTATTTGTGTATATCATTTAAAAAAAAAAAGAAAGAAGCAGTTTGATGTATATAAAGGTATATTCTATTCATTACAATGTGTCATTGTTTCATCTGTGATCTTCATTTTTTTTTCCTTTTTTTCTTTTTATGTTGTATATTTATGATGAAGAAGAGAAAAACAACAGAATAATTCTTTCATTTGTATAAAATAAAATAAAAATATTCGTGTATGTGTATGTGTGAATATTTTGCTTGTATATAAAACAGCACGTATATAGATCGATTTCTAATTTGGCCCTTTCGTTTTACCTATTTCTTTTTCTTTTTCTGTATAGTCTCGTTTTTTTTTTGTGTGCATTTGTGTATTTTTTTTTTTTTGTTCTTTAGGAAAAAAAAGACATAAGGAAACGAGATGGTTACCTGTAAAAAAAAAGTATTCATTTTTTGTTTCTATAATTTAAAAGCAAACAAAAAAAAAAAATTTAATCAATGATATTATCAAGTGAAGAATTTCTGATTGATTGCAAGATTTTAATGAATAAGAAGAAGAAAAAGAATTTTTTTTTGAACATCACAAATGTTGAGTTCATTAAGGTTTATTTGTAATTATTTCAAAATATCATTTATTCTTCGAAATAGATTATTATAATCTTATTTTATGTAAATGTTTTTATAGAAACATGATTTTTATGTGGGAGGGATTTTTTTTTTCATATGCTTATTGGAGCACGATAGATTATGAATACGGAAGTCTGAAGAAAATTTTCTTCTTGCAAGCAATTTCAACAGTATTAACATATAATAATTTGAATTATATTGAATCTTTTTTTCTCGGTTTATTCTATTGAAAAGAGTAGCTTACTAATAGAAAAATCTGATTCTATTGTTTAATAGTAGAATGTTTAGGCTTAAAAATAAAATACGTCTGTTGATCTAAAGATAAAAACTCATTTGAATAATTTTCATCACCTGTTTAAATGAATCTTTTCATTTCAATTAAGTATAATTATTAGGATTTAATTAGTTTGAATACTTTTTGAGATCTTAATTAAGATTTCTTCTCCAAAACTTCTGGTGTATGTGCCGGATAAAAATGTTTGACTTACGAACGAATCTAATCAAGTAATAAATTATTTTTGAGATGAATCTTACCGTATTACACATGCCTTTATAAAACGTAAGAAAATTTAAAAAAGATTCAGATGTATGAAATGTTCTTTTTTTTTTTGAGTTAGAATTATTTTAGTAAAAATTCTAAAATTTACATAAATAAAGTTCTCAATAGAAGTAGTTCGATTGAGAAATATTAAAATTTTAATGTAGTTCTTATCATAAAAGATCAAGGTTGATAATTTTACAATGCAAAAAAAGAAAATTTTTATCTTATACGTCTATTTAAAGATAGAAGGTATTGGAAAGTTTGACATTTTTATAATTAGTCTCATTAAGAACTTTATTCATGCAGGGTTAATCATAGTCGAAGAAGAAAGACTTATTCATTCTGTCATCTTAATAGGACTTATCCAATGAGGCTTACGAGTTATTTCAAAAGCAATTTATCATTTGGCATAGTCATTTGTTAGATTTGAAGAAAAACAGATGTTTTTTTAAAATAAATCTCGACCTCATTTTTTTTCTATTCATATGAACTCATCATCAGACTAATGGAAATGATTTAATTAAAAATACGAGATGGCTTCAAAACAACTCATGAATCAACAAAGAAAGGTGTCAATTAATAGAATAACTCTTATTATGACATGCTATTTAATCTCTTTCATCATATATTTATCATTTTAAAAACTAAATCATTGATATTTTTGTTGCAAAAATAGGCCCAAAAATTTAGATAAATCTCAATAACCCTTTTTTTATCATATCGGATGTCCTAGAAAAAATGGATCTCTTAATATTTTAATGGAATTTCTTTTAATATTCCTTTGTCGCTTTCAATAGGTTCATCTTTTAATTTTCTATAAAATGATATATATAGGTTATAAACAGGATGTCACTCAGCACTGGAAGGACAAATTTCATAGGCAGGAGCGAAGATGTCACGCGCCCTTTATAAGTTATACTCCTCTTTGTTAATGATGTAAATAAACATCCATCATTCTCGAGATACGATTCAAAATGAACAGTTCAAGATAAACAATTTCTTAATACAATTTTTTGAGCGTTTGTTTCAGATTTTGCACAGGTATTTCTTTCAATATTACTTTTTACTAATCGAAAGAATATACTTATTCGCTCTGAATTGAGCAGGTCAATGTATACTGATGGAAAAAGGTTTAGTAACAACGTAGTTTTGATTTTCTTTAAAATAATGTTAAACACTTAGATTAAATTCAGACAATGATTTTAATAGTCAATGGAGTGTTCTATCTAATGTATTCTATACGAACGAAGGGACTACCCCAATGAACACCAGTTGTTTGAGATTATATTTCGGACTCATAAGCAAGTCTCAGTAAGACTAGGAAAAGACTAAAGGAGGTCATCTTCATGTATTTTTGACGCGGAATTAAGATCGATTTACTGGATCTTCGACTTATTTTTTGTAGGTACCTGCCGAAAAACCAAATAACGAAGTTTTCGATCCAAAATTTTGCTCATAGATTTGTATTTAGAGTCTTAGAACATCATGTAAGTTCCAGCCGAAAAGAATGTTCGTTCGTCAAGTTATTAAATTTTCAAGTGAGCTCGATTTTTGTGACAAACAGGACTATTTTTGTCAACTCAATATGTTGGCGAAGGAGCATTTTTTTGGTTCGATTGAAACTTTCAGAATATTCTAAGAGTCATTAGACGCATCCATCTATAGGCAAAAATCTCAGATTGGAACTCCGTGATTTTATTTTTCGAGAATTATCTACATAAATGAGTCGAAAATCCAATAAATCAATCATAACTCGTTGTCAAAGGCACTTGGGAATGAACTCTTTTAGACTTTGGCTAACTTTATCGAGACCTTCTTCTAGGCCTAATATGAGTTCAAACAGCGAGTGTTAGTTCGGATGGTTCCTTTGAAAGATTTCATAGATGAACTATAATGACAAAGTTTTCAAAAAAAAACCAGACTGGGTAGTTTTCAAATCGCATTGGATAGAAAACTTCATTAGCTATTAAAAATCAATAACTAGATTTGAACTAGATGCTTAACATTATACCAAAAAAAGTCAAAAATACGTTGTTGTTAAACTTTTTTCCACCACTATAATTAAATTTGAAGTGTTTGATGACTAAAAATTCTTGATAATGGAAAAGAAAAAAAACTTGTTCTAACCTTACTGTTGTGTATTTGATGGATGTTAGAATGTGAGTATGAGTTTAGGTCTTCTACTCATGCACTCATACACTCACACCCTTCAGTGCTGAATTACGTCTCTGTTAATAAAAAATATATCATTTTATAGAGAATTAAAAGATGAACCTATCGAGAAAGAAAATTTAAACGAATCGTAAAAGAAATCTTATTAAAATACTGAAAGATCCATTCTCTCTAGGACACTCGATATTTATTATAGACAAAAAACAAAAAAAAACTTTTAGTTTATTTATCCTAATAATGAAGAAAAGAAATATTTATATACAAATTATAATTTTGAATACCATTTAAGTGTTCGAAAAAAAAATGACCATTTATTTTTCCATAAAGTCCATCGAAGTCGAATAGGTTGAGAACCAAATCGAGATGGTTGAAGACCTAACATATTACGTATTCGTGGTAATTCAAAAATAATTGTTTGAGAAAGTTGTAATATACTATTCAATGTCCAAAACAGAAGAATACCCTAATATTATCATCAAAAAACAGGAAAAAAAATGATATAAATATAATTAATTATTAAGAAAAAAAAAATCTTACAGCAGGTAATTTAAATGCAATTAAAGTAAAACCAATAACTACTGTCCGAGTAATTCCACGTTGAATTCGACCAGCTGTTATAAGTCGTGGATTTATTAAACCTGGCTTTTCTACTGCATTAAACTAGAATATAATTATAATGATAAAGTAAATAATAATAAATTTTATCAACATACACTAATTCCTATAAGACTGTGTATAAGAAAACCTAATGGTAAAATACCATATGGATCAGCTTCTGCTAAATTTTGAAACCATAAAATACCTTCTTGAGATATGGTAGCTAAAAATAATCATGTATATATAAAGTCAAAATAAAAGTCAAGTGAATACTCAGTCAAATCTATAAAATAAAACAATAAAAATACGTCAATCTCTTTGTTTTCTTCTCAAAAGTTGTACTCGTATAAATTATAATATTTATCATAAACTTTATAGATACTATTTAATTACAAATTCATCTTAAACAAATATTTGTGTTTCAGATTTTAAGTTTTACTAGAAGTAATGAACTCGAAAGTTGAGTATCGTTGACTCGAATCATAAAATTCAAAAAAGCAAAAATTGATAATTAAAAATAAAAAACCAATTAATTGAACGTGTATTTTCTCAAAGCGATCTTTTAATAAGATCTGATCGTTGAAATTTTTTACAAGATAATATTTGTATTTTAACATCTTTGAAATGTAATAAGACTTTAATATTTTTTGCTTATAAACAACTTGAAGTTTAAGTTGTTGTTTTATAAACATTTATATTTTTTCTACTGTCTTGTAGAACTGTATGAAAGAGAAGAGTTGACTTTACTGTTCGTACTTTGCTGATTAAGGTATTATAGTTATGGCATTTTATTCTATACAGGATTATTTTTATTTTTTTGTTCATAAAAACTAAGAACAAAATATCACGTCTTGGATAACTTGTTATTAATGTTCTCTATAAAAATAAATAGAAAATGAAAAAATTGTAACAATAACTTCATTCGTCCAATTCTGTATTTAATATTTTCTGAGAATTGTTGATATAGTGGTCATTATTAGTCATATCAGCGAAATGATTAATGAGGATATGAACAATCATTTCAGTATGTCGAGAACTAACTCAATGAGTTATTCTCTAAAAGTAACAGCTGATTCTGACTTGATTCTTATAAGATCATCGTCAAGATTGTCTGAAAAATGTGTACAGCGTGTTAATAGCAGAATGTGTAGAGTCATTACCACACTTATCAGAAAAGACCACCATCTGTTCAATCACTATTATGTCGAGACTATGTGAATTATGTAGATCCAAATAAGTTCTGAATATCTTGAAAAGAGTCCATGTCCTTAGCTTATTGCTACGGAGATACTACACTTTTATGATATTTTTTAAATAAATGCTGCCGTCCTTCTGAGAAACATCAGAAAAATTGATTTTCGAATTTTAATTTGAAACTTTGTGTAGAGATACTAAAACAAGAATGTCGAATCTACTGGTTTATATGTGTGATGTAAAAGACACGTTATTACCATAGTTGTATCTTAGGATAGGAGCAACGACAAGATCTGAATCATTCACAAAAAAAAATCTACTCTCTTTAACATCTGTCTCTATGCAAAGTTTCAAGTCGAAATTCGAAAATCAGTTTTTATGATGTTCTGAACAAGTCACGACATGTATTTAAAAAGTACTGTATCTCCGTAGTAATAAGCTAGAGACATAAACTCTTTTCAGGGTATTCATAGTCTTTGATCGTATATCTATGAATGAGAGAATTTAGTTTTGACTTAAAAATAACTTACGATGAGTGATAGGTGACGTGCAGATCATACGAATACCAAATGTAAAATAAAGCCATGGAATAGAACCAAATAATGCTAGAATAAGTAATTTGCCTGGATGAACATTGAGTTCACTATAACCTCGTTTTGTTAATTGAAGAGCCTATCAATAAAGATTTTTGAAAATAATTAAAAAAAAAAATTTCTCATATATTCATAAATTTTTTTACGTCTCGTTGAAGATTTTTTTTCTCTTCAAGTACAGTTGCTGTTTTTCCTTTCATAGCTTGTATATTTAATATTTTTACACGTGGTTCTAATTCATTTTTAACAGTACGTCGAACAATTTGAAGACGTTCAATAAAACGTTGTTGTGATATTGTTATTGATGCACCAACAATAACACGAAAAGTAATTGTTGCTAAAGCTATTGTTGCCCACCATGGTAAATTTAAACTATCATGTATTTGTAAAAGACTATTAGCAACAAATTCCGATGGTGTTTGAACAAATGTTTCATATGCAATTGTTGTTGATGATTTTTTTTCAAAATTAAATGAATGTTCTTGAAGAATATTTGATATATCAATTGATGATGAATTATAACGTGTTATTAATAAAGATGAAATTCGATTGGAAGGAAAATATGAATAAGATAAAATTAAACGACGACAAGATAACATCTTTTTTAAAAAAAAAATTGATCTAAAATAATTCATCGTTTCAATATTGAACAGAAAATTTCAAAAACAATTTTGATTTAGATAAGTTATTTATGTATCTAAGTGAAGTATATGACAAAGATGTTTGTAGTACGAATTATAATTTAATAGAAATTTAGTCAAATGAAGATTTTGTTATAACATTCTAGAGTAGTTGAATATACGTATTAATTAGTTTCGAATTCAATAATGATAAATGTTTAGAGTTTAATAACTAATTCTAGTTAAATTAATCATTCTATTTAAAGTATAAGACAATAAGAGTATATGAATTTAGGATTTGAAGTTTTATGAAAAGAATGAAAAAATGATCTTACATTTGTTTTGTCGCTGTTGAGGCGTTGAAGAAATCATTATCAAAATATAAAAAAGTAAATCCTCTTACTCAAAAATCTGTATTAGTCTCAAGGTTTATAAGTAGCTTTCCTTTTCGTTTGAGTTACAGATTAGAGAATCAAAGCGGATATAAAACAAATTAAAAAATGCTATTTTTCTAACGGAAAAGAAAAACAACAATTAGTTTTGATTAATATGCGTGTCATATTAATGTCGTTATTAACATATCACTTGGGAACAATCGAAAAAAAAATTTTTTTAACGTAGAACTTCAAATGAACTGGACGTCTTTGAATAAAAACTTGCATTTTCTCAGCAACATCTATAGCTGAATAATGTTAATTAATCCTATTTTGATATGTACCGAACTCGAAACTCCAGGTTCAATCTTCATTGCAATTATTCTCAGATAATTAATAAGAAAAAATAGAAGTCAATAGAGAGGATTTCAAGGTTATCTATGATAGATCTGTATCGAATGAGAGTTTGGATACCGTAATGTCTGATCCTAGTAATTCAATATTAAGATAGAAGTATCGCCTTTTTGTTTTTTAAAACGTATGTTAGTATTGAAAAATTGTGTAACTATAATGGATCATATGAAAAACAAATTATATAGTTTTGAATAGCTTAGGTGAGTATGAAAAACGAGACTCTGGATCTAGATCTAGCATTATATGAGATCTGCTCGATTTAGGAATAGCTATTCTTTGGGTGCTGAAACAAGTATTAAAAATCAATATTTTCTGAAACAATTTCACAGCTTGATCTAAGGTTGCCTTGGTCTATATTCGAAGAAAATCCGATTTCGAATAGACATCTCGACCAAAGATGGAACCGATCTGGCTAGAGGTCGATCGTCAGTCTATCTTATTTACTTTCCTGCTTTTACCATACTAACCTATTCACCTTAAGATAATCCGTAGAATTTATGTAAGTATCCCCAAAATAGAAGACCATGAATTTTCCAAAATATTTTTTTTCAGAAGTTCAGCAGATTTTTGTTGGCTTCAACACCCAAAACTCTGGTTTTCCGTCACTTAGTTGCTAATAACCCCTATCTGAATATCAGAAAAGTTTTTCAAAAATTCTTGATTTTCTAGCTAAATATTAGCAAAAATCTAACTCGCAATAGAAGACCATCTTTGGAAGAGCGTTATAAATTTCCATAATAGAAGATCATAGATTTGTATTCTGGAGAGAGTCTAATAAAATTTTGTTGGTAATTAACCACATCAAATAATACTATCTATCTCAATGTGTTTTTATAATCAATTCAATAGTTATATTGTTAAAAACCTTATGTCTGCAATGGATGCTGCAAAGATAGAATCGGTATCGGTTACTGTTCGATCTGGTCTATTCAGACCATTTCCATCTCTGATCTCAGCAACTGTCTTTTTTGGAAACATAGATTGCAAAACTCTTCAAGTTTATTTGATTAGGAACGTTCTGACCTATGAATTGATTTTTCTTAACCAATTCGAACTTGTTGAAATTCACGGTCTGTAGTTATACTCGATGTTTGTTTGTTTTTTTTGTTTCAAATTGAAAATGAAGAAAAGCAAAACAGAAGTTAAAAGTGTTTTTTTTTTATATTATTATTTATTTAATAAAAAAAACAAAAATATTTATGTTTATAATTTTAATGCTGTTAAACTAAATCCATCTCCAATATGTTGACTAATATAATCAATTAAATCATGTTTTTTTTGTGTAAAACGAAATGATTCAAGTTCATAAATCGTACATATATTATAAATAATTGCTTCATGAATATTTTCTTGTTTATTTCGTATTAATTTTTCATATAAATCTAATGATTCTTTCATTTTTGACATATAAAGTAAAATAACACAATGATTATTTATTTCAATAGGATTTTTAATTGTTGTTATTAATTTATTTGTTAAAAAATCATTACGAAATAATGAAAAAAGTTCTTTTGTTAATAAAAATTCATTTGATAAATTTTCTTTTGATGATAATAAATTTAAAGCACGATCAAATGCACGTTGTGCATTATAATCATCACCTGTTTGTAATAATATACGTACAATTAATAAATAAAGTTCAATTTGTTGTTCAAAATTTTCATTTTTAATTATTTGATTTTCAATAATTGATATTATTAAATCAATACGTTTCATTAATATATAACAATTTGCTATTGAATATAATATACGTAAACGTCTTTTATGCCATAATTGTGTTTGATCTTTAGGTAAAATACTTAATATTGTATTTGTTATCATTAATAAACGAAATAAACGATCTAAACCATCATGAAAATGATTTGAATCCATATAAATTGGTAATTCAGCATGAAGTAAACGTAAACTAAATGGTAATTTAATATATGAATTTAAATTTCCAAATGTTTCAAATTCATTTTCAATTGTTGGAAATAAACGTAATTTAATTAAACAAGCAAAACGTATAAACCATATATGATAATCATTTGGATATTTAAATAAATAATTTGTTGTCCAATCAACAGCACTACGCCAACATTGTCGTTGAAGAAAATTATTTAATGATTCAATTGTTTGATGATCACCACGTAATGGATCATAATTATTTTCATTATCTGAAGATTTTTTTGTTGTTATTTGTTGAATTGGATTACCTAAATATTTATCAAGAATAATATGTGGTGTTTGAGTAGATGTTACATTTTCAATTAACCATAAATCAGAAATATCAGTATCATTTAAACGTGCACGAATTGATGTTGCCCACTGTGGATCATAGGCAAACCAAACACTTTGTGAAGACATTCAAGATTTATCTAGAATAATTAAAATATTTATTATGATCTAATAATGAATAGGATTTCAAGAAATTCTTTTTTATTTTTCAATTATTAGAAAAATGGACTACAATAAAATTTTGAAAGACATATTAGGATAATACACTCTCAGAATTAATCAACCTGGTAATTTACTAATTATGAATAAAACAATTTTATATCATGTATTGATAATCACATAGACTTTTCGATTTCTATAGAAACGAAAGTGTAACTTTTGTAGATATAACATTATTTCTCTAATAGTCTATTGCCTCTATTGATACTGCGAGAATTAAGACTTAAATTTTAATATTAACCAAATGTAACTCTTCTCTATTTGTCTTTCTCAAAATTTATCCATTGTAAAATGAAAAGAAGAATTTTATATATGTAAGAGAATTAAATTCTCGCTATTATTATAACGATATCTAATAGACGATTCATTGTACATACTCTTCTTTTGTTTAATCATTTCATTAAAATAGAAATGTTTTTAACATAAAATCTCAAACAAAATTTTTTAAGTTAGTCGTGAGGTTTAGTTAGAGTTATCAATAAGACGATATGAGTCATCCAAATACATCTTTGATTGGTTCAATTTTTACTATAGCTATTGAAAATTACTATTTCTTCTTTTTACATCAAAAAATTTCTTATCATAATCTATAAAGAAATTCATGTGAATATCAATAAGTTTTATTTTACTAGATAAATTATATTGTATTGTAGTGTCATCTATTTAATATCGAGAACAGCGATTATTAAATAAAATCATCGGAAATCGAATCGGAAATAAATTCAAGGCATCGAAGTAAATAGATTATAATCTTCAGCATCAAAATTCGTTTTCTTATCTTATAGCTCTTTGTGATTTATATACAATTACTGAATAGAGAAATTTTCTTCAATGATTTATCACTATCTACATTGTAGAAATATCTGTAAAAAGAAAAAAAGGAATTACCATGTATTATTATTCATTAAAAGATTTTACATCAAAATCATTCTTTTAAAATTTTATGTCTGAAACCGACAAGCTTATTCTAAGACGAAAATTTCTTTTATATGAATATATAATGTAATCAAAAATGTCAAGCAATGACTGATATACATTGGTGCAAATTATTGACCGAGATTATGAAAAAGAACCTAGTAATAACTTCTGTCAGTATTTAATATTTAATAGATAACAGATCTATTATCCGTCATATTAAGAATCATACAACAAAAAATACAGAAAAAACTTCTATCGATCTCAAGAAACAACATAGTTTAACATAAATATATAAATACGACATTATTTCTAAAAAAACAAACGTTTATTATTGATTTAAAGGTATCGTCAATATAATAATGTCACATGTGCTGCAAAATGTGATTTAGCGCATGACACATTAGCTTTCGTCAAATGGTGTGCTCGGTGTGACATATTTTTTCAAGCAAATTTGAGATTCATTATTTCGCAATACATTTTTAAAAATGTCATTTCAATCTAGTCGTTGGCACGACTCTCATTTGTTTTGTTCCAAACGGAAGCAGATAATTATTAGTTTTTCATTAAATTACAGAATAAGAAATATTTACTCTCAAAATCAAGACAGAAGCATGTTAGTTAATCGATGTCATCATGTATTCTCAAACAATGACTTATTAGGAAATTATCTTATAAGAAAATAACAACGTATGTAAAAATATTTAATTTCAGTATATTCAATCAAGTCGATTATATGTAACTGTATGAATAAAAAACATAATATTGAATTAATGCTCAAAAGATAAACTAAAGACATATCTACAATCTAATACATTTTTTTAAAAAACACGATCTAAA